AGAGGGATAAACTCATGCAATATGATATAAATCCCATCTTGTTATCCTTGATGGCAACAATACAATACATGCCTTGCTGCCCCTACTGTCACTGGGAAAGGACACAGCAAGATTGAACCCAAAGCTAAGCACTTCTCCCATTGCAAGAAAGATCAATCTAGTAGGCCAAACCAAATTGATAATTCAAAGAGACTTGCAAAGATAACCAATCATACATAAAATAATTCAGAGAAGATTCAAATATTGTTCATAGATAAACTTGATCATAAACTCACAATTCATCGGTCTCAACAAACACACCGCAAAAGAAGATTACATCGAATAGATCTCCACGAGAATCATGGAGAACTTTGTATTGAGATCCAAAGAGAGAGAAGAAGTCGTCTAGCTAATAACTATGGACCCGAAGGTCTGAGGTAAACTACTCACACATCATCGGAAAGGCTATGATGTTGATGTAGAAGCCCTCCGTGATTGATGCCCCCTTCGACGGAGCTCCGGAAAAGGCCCTAAGATGGGATCTCATGGGTACAGAAGGTTGCGGCGGTGGAATTAGGTTTTTGACTCTGTATCTAGTAGTTTGGGGGTACATAGGTATATATAGGAGGAAGAAGTACGTCGGTGGAGCAACATGGGCCCCACGAGGGTGGAGGGCGCGCCTACCCCCCCTACCTCGTGCCTTCCTGGTAGCTTTCTTGACGTAGGGTCCAAGTCCTCTGGACCACGTTTGTTCAAAAAATCATGTTCCCGAAGGTTTCATTTCGTTTGGACTCCGTTTGATATTCTTTTTCTGCGAAACTCTGAAATAGGAAAAAAAACAGCAATTCTGGGTTGGGCCTCCGGTTAATAGGTTAGTCCCAAAAATAATATAAAAGTGTATAATAAAGCCCAATAATGTCCAAAATAGAATATAATATAGCATGGAACAATCAAAAATTATAGATACGTTGGAGACGTATCACCTTTCACTGTGTCTAATCCACTTGATTCCATCATTTTTTTATGAGATGCACCAATGATTGTAACGAATCTTCACGCTTTCTACTAAACCTTTACTACTATGTATTTTGTTTGCTCCTATGTCAGGAGAAATTCCAAATGTTGGATTTGTGCCTGGCACATGCCGCGAGCTGGCTCAGTTGCCCCGGCCTTGCTTTTGGAACAAATTAAGTATTTGTGATGAGCTAGTAGATTAAATAATATCCTATTGACAGTTTATATATTGCTTACCTTTCTTTTGCTATATCTTCACAATTTGTGATGTACCAAACGTTTTCTTAATCTGTATGCTCTAAATTCGGGTTTCCTGGGCAACAACTATATATCTTACTTTCGGTATATCTTTAGTGTTTGTGATTTGTACATAACACATTTGGCTTGACCAATTATTCTAATTTCCTCTGAATGTACAAAATGCTATGTTGGAGTTTTATGCGTTGGATCACTGTGTTGAGCATTGAGCCAGGCACCTTTGCGCCAAGGCACACTTCTGATCTACATGTTAGTGGCTATCTTTTGTGATCTTGCGGATGCATTTAAAACGGTTATGCATAGTGATCTTTTTGTGATGATAATGTGCAACGTTATGTGAGCAATGCTATGTCTCGCTACTATTACAATCGAATATTTTTCTTCGCTTTATTGTTATCCTAACTTAGCATTACCTGCTTGACAAAAACGTTGGGACCGGCACCCTCGCGCCAAGGCGTGATACCGATCTAGTTAATAGGCATGCAAGGACACGACGGAGAAGCTCAAAAGATCACTACAAACTAATCACTGCCCTCGTCCCATCCAACGTTGATATCTATAATCAATATGTCGCCCCTTACCGGGCAGACAAATATTTATGGATATGGCATAGACGAGCGCATACCATTTTCCCTGGTGGTGAGCTTGATTGACTCATGGCCGAGAGAAGAGATGGGAGACTCGCATGTGCTGACTGGAAGAAGAAGCACCCGAGAGACCGTATGCAAATCAAACAGAATCGACTAATAAGCAGGAGATATAATAGAATTGGTTTACAAGATAATGAGAGGAAAAGTAAGAGGCTATCTCATCTGGTATAGTTATCTCGACGACATCAATTGCGCTCCGTTCGGTTTAGAAAAAAGAGTCCAGGACTTTTTTTCGATACAACAAAAATATCATGGCTACTAGTACACTGTGATTTACAAAACTTCCGTTTTTGCTGAAGCCAAACACATCAAAGTATTCAAAACCATGGTTTCTAAAACATTGCCGCCAAATGCAGCCTTAGAGCAACTCTAACACGCCGACCCAAACGGACGCGTGCTTTGACCGCTTTTCGTCCATCTGGGTCAGTCGACCGCTCGTCGGCCGCCCTGTTTTACGTTTGGGCCGACCGTACATCCAACGCGTAGACCCATTTTATGTTCGCACACAATTTTTAAAAAGGTCCGCGACCATAGATAATGCGAGCGGCCATGCCATTGCCCAGAGTTCATGTGGGTGACATGCTAGCGGTCGTCATACATGTCAACCTTCGAAAAAAATCACCACACATTTCATGCTGGCGCACTCGCTCTTCATTTGGTACGGCGCGAACTTCTTGCATTCATGGTACTCACGATGAACACGAAGCCATAAGGTAGATGCCTTTTGCTCGGCGCCGACCTTGGAGTCTTGTCCAATGTTCCTCCAACACCCACAAAGGAGTTTGTCCTCCGGTTGCGTATATGCCTTTGTCCACTTGCCTTCTGCGCTTCTTGTCTGCGCCAGCTTGGTTGGCAAGCTCGTCGTCGAACAAAGGCTCCATGTCGATGTCCACTTCATCCTCTTCCTCAAGGCCGCAGTCCTCCGGGAATTCGGGGTCGAGTGGGAAGGTGCTGAGACCATGCCGACCTGGTCTTGCATGAAGGGGTCGTCAATGCCAGCTTGATCAAAGGTGGCGGGCATGAAGGGCGCTCGGCAGTCTTGACTTTGGGTCTCGTCGAGATCGAAGGCATCCACGCCCGCACCATGTGTGAAGGCAGCAACTCCCGCACCGCCTTCAAAGATGATGTTCTCGATGATGAAATGGTTGGCCGTCTCGTCGTCACCAGTGGCCGGCATTCTGTCGAATAGGTTGCAGACGTCGGGATGCATGTCGGCTAGTATCTCCCACGAGCGTTTTCTCGCTCCTTCGGAGGATGATCCACCGGCCATCGATGTGGCATTGAGGTCGATGCCATGAGCACATGCGCGGGTGTGGACGGCGCCAGCACGATCACCTCCGACGAGCATTCTACGGAGAAGCGGGAGGCTTGCGGATAGACATTGAAACTGGGAATCAGCTGCGTGGTAGACGTGCGTGGCGACTCTGGCAATCCCACCCAAGGAAAAGCCGACGAGCCCGTGTTGGCCAAGGCTTAACCCTAGATAGAGCAGGGCCTCCCTCGTTGCCACGGTGACTCGGGCATTGGTTTCCTCCTGCTGTGCGGTGGCGGAGAGGGTGACGACAGCGGCTTCGAGCTTGCGGTCCCGCGCATGCCTTCGACCCTTCCTCTTGGTCGACTGCACGGCCCGCTGCTCGGGCGTCAACTGCTTCTTCTTGGGCGGCGCTGCAGTCTTGCAGGGCGCTCGGGGCTTGCCTTTGGCGGAGGCAACGAAGGTGAGGCCGGAGGAGGCGAGGGAGGCGAGGTCGGCACGACGTCGAGGGTCGGCACGTCGTCCATGGCGAGTGACTGGGAGCGCGAGTTGACGGGAGTTTTTTTTTGGAAAAGTGAGGATAAATGGTGGTGTGTGTGCCGCCGATTGGCGGGCTAGGGGAGGAGTAGGCGGACGTCACGCACGTTCGTTTCGTGTTCGCGCGGATGCAAATGAGACCCTCGGCAGACGGGCAAAAAACGGACGCGCGTTCGTTTGGGTGTGCGTTGGATCGACTTCTGTGTCAATTTTGATCCAAGCGAACACGCGATGACGAAAGAGCGGGCGTGTTGGACACAGGGTCGACGGAGTTGCTGCTCTGTCAATTTTTTAGCCTATACTAGAACAATGCTCGTGCATTGCAACGAGATACAAATATTCTAATACGCTAGATTGTGATTTACCTCTCAATAATAATGTGATTGTGTATATAAATGTTCATCAAATTCTGACCGTGAATTACCTTATATTTTGATTAATTAAAATGGAATTGGATTAAAAGGTAAGTAATTAAGGGGAATTAATTATTATATTCATGAAAGGTTGGACGAAGGGATGATGGGAAGCAAGGTGAAATGGAACCTCACGCTTTTTAAGTAGTAGAGAATTTTTTAGCCTACACTAGAACAATGCTCGTGCATTGCAACGGGATACAAATATTCTAATACGCTAGATTGTGATTTACCTCTCAATAATAATGTGATTGTGTATATAAATGTTCATCAAATTCTGACCGTGAATTACCTTATATTTCGATTAATTAAAATGGAATTGGGTTAGAAGGTAAGTAATTAAGGGGAATTAATTATTATATTTATGGAAGGTTGGACGAAGGGATGATGAGAAGCAAGGTGAAATGAAACCTTACGTTTTTTAAGAAGTAGAGATATAGATATACGGTTCATCAGTCCTACCGCTGATTCACCTTCCTCTGACAATCCGGACCCAACCTGCCATCGGCTGAAACGCGCCGCATCCGCGTCCGACGCGAACTCTGAAGATACCGCTCAAACAGGACAGCACGATAGGCGACGCCGGACGCAGTTTCCTCTTCTTTTCTTCGCGTCGCCCTGCAACCCCACCCACCGCCGCCGCCACCCAGCACCACAAGCCCGCACGATCCCTCTCCGCGTCCTTGGTCGCCGACTTCCGATAAGCTTCGACGCCGCGCTCGCACGAGCTAGCGCAAAGCTCCAGCATATTATCCCCAATTTCGGAAGTCCGATCCCCGGTTCGATCCAGAACACCCTTTTTTTGTAGGGTTTGGTTTTGGCCCGTGGATCTAGGGTTTGGTGAGCCAATTTTCCCCGATTCCCTTCGATTGCTGGGATTTGTTGTGCCTGCGCATCATGGCCGCGGGGCGCCACGGAGGGTACAGTGGCTACGAGGTGTCGAAGGAGCGGGAGTTCGATCTGGAGGCTTCTAGAAGGGGCAAGGATTACCATCACCGCAACCCTAGCCGACACCGCGACTCAGATCGTCGTCGTGATGGCGGCCGGAGCAGGGACCGGGAGCCGTCAAATGGGCACACCCGCCACCGGTCGCCACATCTGCCACTGAAGAGCCGGCCGTCAGGGAGGAGGGAGGAGAGGGAACCCGGCGAGGTTTCAAGCGGAAGTGGCTCGGAAGAGTCTCGTGGGTGTCCGCTCAAGGCAAGGGAACCTGGTGTGAATGGTGTTGCTGGGGTCAGCAGGGAGGGCGGGGTGCCATCCCCAACTAAGAAGCGAAAATACTCGCCTATTATTTTGGACAGGAATGGTTCAAAGCCTCGTGTCCAAGATTTTGCGAGTAGCATGAAAGATGTAGGCACTGTGGTTGCCAACCTCCCAGATGTTGGCAACCCGAGCAGCATTGATTTGGATGCATCGGTTGATGTACAAAATGTTGAAAGATTACAGGAGCACTGCAATGATAGGGTTATTATGGAGGAGGATGAGGAGGAGGATGCTTATCCAACAATGATAAACATTAGGACTTCACGATGGGCAGATGCTGATGACGAGGAAGAAATTGTGTCGAAGAAGAAGAAAAGCGTGTCACCAGAACAAGGGTCCGTGAAAAAGCTTACAAGCCCAGAGCTTGGAAAGTTGATGATGGATAAAGACTCAAACTCCTCAGTGTCGTCTGACTCTGGCGTAGTACAGTTTAGTGCAAACAGGGATCTTGAAGTAGATAAGGGTGACTACATGGATATCGAGAAGGATGCTGGGGATGATTCTTCTGCTCTTTGTGGGATGCACACTGATTCTGAGAGTCATCGGTGTAGCTCTAGAACCCCAGAGCCCGCAGGGTCACCGCATAGGTGCATTAACATGCTTCAGGGTTGTAGGGGTGTTGACGAGTTTGAGAGGCTCAACACAATTAATGAGGGTACATACGGTATTGTATCTAGGGCAAAGGATAAGAAAACTGGTGAGATTGTTGCATCGAAGAAGGTAAAGATGGAGAATGAACGGGAAGGTTTCCCACTGACTTCTCTCAGGGAAATAAATATCCTGCTATCGTTCCATCACCCTTCGATTGTGGATGTCAAGGAAATAGTCGTTGGGAGTGGTGACAGCACCTATATGGTGATGGAGTACATGGAGCACGATCTCAAGGCTGTCATGGAGACTATGAAACAACCATATAGTCAAAGCGAGGTCAAATGTTTGATGCTTCAGCTGCTAGAAGGTGTGAAGTATCTTCATGACAATTGGGTGATTCACAGGTAATGACCAACTATTGATTTTTCTTCAACTTTTATGCATGTTTCTTAATAGGTTATATTTTTCTGTCTAATGATCTGTCTTGTTTGATAGGGATCTCAAGACGTCTAATATTCTCTTGAATAACCGCGGTGAGTTGAAAATATGTGATTTTGGGCTCTCTCGTCAATATGGCAGTCCACTAAAGCCTTACACTCAATTGGTTGTGACTTTGTGGTACAGGTAAGTCATTAGCCAGCATCAATGTTTTCAAATGTTGTGCTGTTACATTATTATTTAACCACTTACCAATCACAGCCTCACTGTTTGATGCTTTATCGTTGCAGGGCTCCAGAACTACTGTTAGGCGCAAAGGAATATTCCACTGCTATTGATATGTGGTCGTTGGGTTGTATTATGGCAGAACTCCTTTCAAAAAAGCCACTGTTTGATGGGAAACGTGACATCGACCAACTTAGTAAGGTATCTGGTTTGATCTATAATTTCTATTTGTTCATTGTAACTAGATCAATAAAATCTCATGTGAGTAACTTTGACTGCAGATATTTAGAATGCTTGGTACACCTAACGAGGACCTATGGCCTGGTTATTCTAAATTACCGGGCGCCAGGGCCAAATTTGCCAAACAACCGTAAGTGGTTAACCACTTATTGTAGCTGCTTCTTTTGTGTTTTGAGCATGCTAGGTTTGTATCAAAATCTAACCTTCAATTCTCTCCTCAGGTACAATAGATTACGGGAAAAGTTTCCAGCTGTATCTTTCACTGGTGGGCTGACCCTGTCAGAGGCTGGATTTGACCTGCTAAACAGAATGCTGACGTATGACCCTGAAACGGTAATATATGCCCTATAGAGAACTAGCTGATTCTCCCCTCACCTTTTACCTGTCTGAACATATTTGCCTTCTTCTTACAGCGCATATCAGCAGAGGATGCGTTGAACCATGAATGGTTCTGTGAAGTACCATTGCCTCAGTCAAGGGATTCTATGCCAACATTTCATTCCCTTAATGAACAAGACAGGTACTGGCATTTTTTTGTATAAGCTTTAACCTATCAGCATAGTATGATTTTTTTTCTTGTAGTATGGTTTAATTAATGTTTCATTCTTCAAACATGTAGGCGCATGATGAAACGCATGAAGAGCCCTGATCCTCTGGAGGAGCAACGAATGAAAGAACTGGGGAGCATACACGACCGTGGAATTTTTGGCTGAGCCCTGATCTTTTGGTTTGCTGCAGATGCCAATCTTCAATTAACATGAACCTAATGGAAGTGCATGTGTTCCAAGGTTAGACGTCCACTGGATATATGAAGTACACCGTCTTCTTGGTGTCTGGCGACAGTTGGTGGCCTTCTTTAGCAGGCATGGATGCATAATCAGAAGGGGATACGATTTCTCCTTATATTCCGTGCTAGGCACTATTTCATTTACAGGGTTAGCTCTTCCCCAACTTCTGGTCACAATGAACTCTACTTTACTTGGTCACAATCTAATCCACTGTGCATTGTAAGGTGTGCAAATATCTCATACAGCTGCATCGTATGGTCTGGCCTATTCACAGCTATTGGGTACACCAGTTTCACATACCGATCTTCTGTATGTAAAGTACTGTAAAGTGTATTCCTTGTAAACAACAATCAATGAGATCTTCTCACTTCATTTTTCCTTGTTAAGCACATTTTATTTTGATCTTTGCATATTCTCTGCAAGAGATGAATGAAGCGAAGAAGGGGAGTACCTTTTGCTTTTTCGCGAGGAAACTGATGCATAGTAATGCAAATTGTAAGGTAATATGCTGAGGAATTAATTTCCCACTGATGTGTTATCGTGCTATATAAATTCGACGTATTTATCATTTTTTATCTCTGTGTTTGTGGATGTTCTGTGTGAATGGTCTTGTAAGCTCAGGTGAGCTTTGGCGTTGTTTGGAAATATCTAAAATTGTACATACATATTTTATGGCTTATTCTGCTTGATATGTTCATGTTGTCTGTTATTGTACTATATGAAATTCTAACTTACATAATGAATGCAAACCAAAAAGGACAAATTAATACTTATGAACTTCTTTTGTGCAGTCAATGCAACTTCCGTCGTAAGAGAACAACTAATGTCGTCTTAAAAACACAACTAATTTTATATTGCGAAATGGAGACCCTTCATTTCTGTTATTGTTTGCTTTCCTGAAAACAGGAATTTGAGAGCAAAGTTTGGAAATTAACTTCCCATGACCTTTGTTATCCCAAATCTAGATGCTATTTTGTTCTGCTTTTATTATTTTCAGGATTTTGTTCTTGTTTGGCCTATCTTGCCTGATGGATAAAAAGCCTTTCTTGCATTGTTGAATGATACTATGTTTTTCACCTAGGCTTTCATTTTGTGTTGATTACGTTTTGGGAACCGACACGTTCTACAAAATGTAAATGATTTTCAACAACCGACCTAAATTTGTGAAAACACATCAGTGGCCAATTTTTTAGAAGTTTGAGTAAAATGCTATCCTTTTGTGAACTGGATGGAGCACTAGTTAGTGAAAGTTGTAAAATGTTTTTGGTTCTTAGGTACCGGTTTGCCCTTCATGAAAAGTTTATGCACTCTTACTCATATGCCATTCTTTTAAGTATTATTATTTATAAGCCATAGTTTCTAACCCTCTCCGTATACCCAGCAATCTGTTAGGACTACCCTTGTATATAAAAGGGTTATCCCTCACAAATTCCTTGATGGTATGCAAGCAATAAGGCTGAAAACAATGACATGCAAGGGATTGGTTTTAAGAGTAGCATATACGGGAGTTCCTTATATGATAATATACTTGCATGCACGTAAGTATCGTCCGTTTAGTGAGGCAGTCAGTTTTCATTGTTTCAGTTTCAAGTCATTTGCTATGTGCAGGACATCTGATGATAGAAAAGCTAGTCTGATTGGTGTCCATGATTGAATGTTTGTTTGGACATAGCATATCTTCCTGTGAAATCAGTTAATCCAGTTCTCTTACTCAATTTTAACTTTGAACTATGAATTACTTGTATTGTGTAAGCTGCTTGGAGAGTTGATTGAACTCACTTAAGTGTTCTGTGACCCGTCTGCAGCTTAAGCTGTGGCTATCAAGACAGGAAGCTCGAGTGCTGTCAGCTTACCTTTCTTAATTGACTTTCTTTGTGGAAGGTATCCAAGCTCTGTTACTCTTGTGAATCTTAGTTGGTCAGTATACTATCCTATCTTGGTATGTTTTCTTGCTAGTAGTTTTCCTTGGTAACTGATTATCATTTCCTTGGTTGACAAATATATTATTTTTAAATCTGTTCAGAGTTCAGGCGATCTCATCATTTACCTTAATATTGCTACATGATCCCTTGAAGAGTTGCCTGTTTTCTGGTTCTATATTTCCGAAGATGCACGCCATTGTCATGAAATGCTGCACTTTATAATTTGATTAAAAATTGTGGATTCCGTATGCTTTGCTTACTACAGGAAAACTCACGGGTGCTGGTAAAAACAAGACTAGTTTTCATTTAAATAAATCATGTTTAGTTTCCGTAATGTTCTGATAATTTACCTACGGATGCCTTGTAGTTATCAGTTCATTTTTATTTAATCCCTTATCCCTGTCAACCATGTGCCACCACCCACCAGTGGACATGATGATTCTTGGTTGAACATTTGTTGGATAATTCCAGTAGTTAGTTATTTGCAGTGACCTATTAATTGCTCTCTCTCAAGTAGATAGTACCACCGGTGGAGAAGAGAGCCCTGTTTTTTTAATAGATATGGCCCTTTTGTATTGAATTCCTTGCCCCACTTCTGAATGCAATGCTTATCAGCACTAAAAAAGCCAGAACACAGACCCATACATTTTGTTCTTTTGGCGAGGGGTATTCTGTTGTGGTATTTGGATTATTTTTACAGTTTATACATCTCTTCAAATTGCTACAAATCTGTAACTTATGTAGTGGTCAGAACTAACCTAGATAAGGGCGGAGTGAAACAAGTTTTAAGTGCAAATGAAGTGCTGGCTCGTGCCACAGTTGCGCCTAATCGGACTGCTTGTTAGCTATTTCTGTCTTTGCTGCTTGCGACTTGGGCAGCATGCTGGCTTGTGCCGGTACAGACGGAGAAAGGAATAGGAGTGAGATTCGGCCAAGTGGGATGTTGATATGATGTTTATGTTTGCATCGAGACAGCTCTCTCTCAAGTAAATGGTACTACTGGTGGAGAAGAGAGCCCTGTTTTTATAGATATGACCCTTTTTCATTGAAATTCCTTTCCCCACTTCTGAATGAAATGCTTATCAGTATTAAGCAAAATCAGAACACAGATCCATTTATTTTGTTCTGTCATCGAGGGGTATTTATAGAGTTCAGATCTGTCGAAATTTCTACAAAGATGGTAACTTATGTAGTGGCTCTTGCCACTGCTGCGCCTCATTGGGTGCTACTCGTTAGCTATTTCTGTCTTTGCTGCCAGCGACTTGGGCGGCCTGCTGACTTGTGCAGGTACTGACAAGGGAAAAGGGAATGAGTGAGATTCAGGCAAGTGAGATGTTGATGCGATGCTTGTGTTTGCATCAGAGACAGAAGTGAGTGCTGGACCGAACTGTTTATGGGTTCTGACTTGCGTATCCTTCATGAATTCCTACAAAAAATCATGTACCAATCTATTATTTTCTATCCTTGTTTTCTACTCCCTCTGTTCCAAAATAAGTGTCATGGATTTAGTTCAAATTTGAACCATGTCAGTTATTTTGAAACATAGTATTTGTATAAGTTGATTGTATTGTGTTAGTTTGGATAGAAGACATGTCTGTATTCCGTGAATGCAAGATCATTCTCAAAGGCATGCCGGTTTCCAGCACATCCTCTTGGTCAGCTGTTGCAGACGAAATGCCTGCAGCAGAGCATTCGACGATGAACCTTATTGTACCTTTTCAAAACAAATTAGTACATACGTTTTGAATATAAATGCTATCTAACATCGTTAACCATTTCTCTCTTTTGCTGTCGTTTGTAAGTCAAGTCAAGGGTCAATTCTGCTATAGCCTGAGTTTTTGAATGAAAGTGCTGAAATTTCGATCAAATAAGTTTGGCTTGGAAACCTTGTAAAGCATGGCAAGGTCTGGTCCAGTATTTGATAACCTTCTGCTCAGCTAGACACTTAACTATGTACTATCGAAACTGCCTCCTTTCACGCGAACATTTTGAATAGAAATGCTATCCAGCTTCAATAGGCATTTATTTATTTTTGTTGTCGTTAGGTCAAGGATCAATTGTGCTGTAGCCAGAGTTCTTAAATGAAGTGTTTAAAGGTTTTGATCAAAGTTTGGCTCGGAAGCCTTTTAAAGCATCGCTAAGGTCAGGTCCAGTATTTGATCTTGGACTATCGAGAACTGCCTCCATTCATGATGTATGTGCATTTGATTTTGACAGTAAATATCTTGATTCCTACTCAATAATTCAAGATATCACCTGAGCCTGCCCCCGATGCAATTTTTATTGCATGTTTTGCAGGTTCACGTTTGGGAATTAAAGTGTATTAATCATTATTCTGTGTGGATTATGGTTTGTTAGTAGTGTTAACATATGATCTTAGTAGTGTTAATATATGAGTAGTAAGGTGGAGAAGTGCTCTTTTATTACTAGCTTGTATTGTATTTTTGGTTGCACCACCTGTGCCAGCTTGTCTCCAACTGGATTAGCCTGTCCTAACCCATCATACACTAATGTCTGCATATGAAGGATAAAATCACCTAGGTAACTAAATATGAGACTTTGTTTAGTTCAATTTGAACTGCAAAAACGTCTTGTGTTTAGTTGCAGCGGTAGCACTAACTTGTACTCTCCAGTTTATTTTATGTATATGCCCTTCCTAACCCTGTGTACAGCAACGATGGAACTTGAATTAGCATTGCGGAGGCAAAGAAGCTTCTTTGGTCTCTCTGGCTTCTGACCATTTGTGTTCTATCAGACTGAAAAAACCCTAAGGTGTTGCAAGAGTGCCTGCTGATGTATTACTCCCTCCGTCCCAAAATAACTGCCTCAACCTTAGTACCTTAGTACAACTTTGCAGTAAAGTTAATACAAAGTTGAGACACTTATTTTGGGATGGAGGGAGTATTTCTTTTACCTCTTAGGGTTATGGCTGTATCTATCTAAATTTGGTAAAGTGATGTAGTATCAAGATGAGTACAACTTGTTTTCTTTTTCCTGTAATGT